ATCGCACGTAACCCAATTAGACAGTTTTTATCTAACTACACGGCTTAGTTCAAGTGTCAAGGACTTCATGGACTGATGCAATATATTGCTCTTACCATTCCTAGTATTCTCCTATACCAGCCAACCTCGCGAGTCCAGATGTATGTAAAACATTCCCCAAACCACCTCAGCTGACGAAGATTCACTACTTCATCAATAGATTTGCCATCTTTACCTATTATCCTATGCATGACCTCAATAGTGCTGAATCAGTGGTACCAATACCAATGAGTAGTGCTATGAAGACGGTTACGATTGAATATCGAGGAATCTAATAATATTCACTATTCATAATTCGGATGCCTAACATCTATAACGTAGAACGAAGAGAACTGCTGGGCAGTAAACTAATTGTTTCGCTGGTACATGGATATCTTGCCTACACTACAAGTGATGCATTTATTACTTATTGTTTCTCTGATATACTCTAATTGGATTCTTTTATTAGGACGGTCTTAGAAAAGACACTTCGAATAAAGTTCTGTACATATATTATCTTAGATGAAACATATCATTTTCAAATGAAGAAAATACCGAGTTATATAAGCTGTATAGTAAAACATGAAACATAAAATCCTGAACAGATTAACTTTGAAATTTCACCATCCATAAAGCTGTCACTAAATTTATTGGTTTCATTTGATTTGCTCCCAAATGCCCTGGTACGGCCGAGAGTGGGGATAGTACGCTCTAACAAAACATTTTCATATATATATATATACGATTGTACAGCTTGATAATAAATTCGTTGAAAAGAGATCCCTTCGCTGAAATCTGTGTTTTAATTTTAATGTTTAAATGGGAATTATATACCAATAGTACGCTCTCCCTCTCAAAATGCTCTCACATGGCCACGCATATACAGCGTCAGCCAGGAAAGTCCTTCTCACTGTCTTCTCATGGCATTACTCTTGTTTACCGAATTGAGAGGACGAAAAGCGAATGTCTGGCGCTTTAGCCGGGTTGGTGGACACCGAGAGTTCACATAGGGGAGTTAGAAAACCCTGATTCTAAACCAATGGTGCACATAGACTCCAGTATCCTGAAGGAACGAATGGCGTATGAACCTATTGTTGGTCACCGGCTACAACGGGACTGCATCTCCTTACGATGCTCCACTGCCTTGTGGGTCAGACCTTTAAGAAAACCACCTGCTTCAGTTTGGGTACCCGGGCAGTATCACGGCCTTCACACAGATGAAGTGAGATTTGTGTGGCGCATATGTATCCGATGCTCCTATGTACCAATATTTATGTGTTTAAATAGATAAATAAAATGCATTTTAATATCCTGAACAATTGAATACTTTAATATTGAACGTAAAATGAAAATAATTTTGAACTTTTGTCTGAAAATTTCATGGATTTATATTCTCGGATTTAATTAACTTACAATAAACATGGTACACAAGACTATTCAAAAAAACAAAAAACAAATCACACTTGAATATTTGACAGTGTAAATTATGAATTTATTATAAAAAAAACTTGAGTAAACCGATGGTATTTCAAAACACCCTGCATCATAATTAAGAAACAACCAGAATATCAAAAGAAAACTTGATAAATGTAAGCAGCTTTTTTTCTTCTTTTTTCATTTACTTCTGATGAAGAATTTAAATATTAAGAAAAAAAAAGTGAAATCATATCTGATTTCAGGTATGAATTAAATTTAAAAAAGAAACTTATTATTGACAAGGATTTCAGTAAATAAGAATCTTGATCATTAAAACTAGTGAGTTACAAAAAGAACAAACAAACAAACATTCTGATGTACAAATGAGATATCGGTAAATTAATTAAATGGAAAAGAAAAATTTGATTTCTAATTAAGATTAATGTATATCCATTAGTTGTATTGGAAGTGTTAAATAAATGGAATAGAATAAATAGACAATAGATAAAGCTAGAGAATTTAATTAGACAACTAATTAAGATTTTCAGTTTACATCACTGACTAATCTTAGTTAAACTAGAATGTACTAGACAACTGGTTTGTCCTACTATGTGACTCCTTAATAGTGTGCATTTATTACTCAACCAGAAAGTACTTGTGAAAAGCTGTGACTAGTAAAATTCAGTGAAATTTAGTGTGGAACAGTGATCCACTGCAGGCAATAGAAGATGGTTGTGAAACATTGGCAAGTAAGTGGCATGTAAACCATTGGGTGGTGACTTGGTGGTCTAAATGATAAGAGCTTATGGAGACCCATGGATGATGTGTTTGATCTCTGGCAAGGTCGTGGATGTACTCTGATAAGGAAACTTATACTGGTACGAAACAACGCTTCTTGGTTTTCAACTGTTGTCTGACTAAATTTGGTTGGTAATGTAAACAACAGAATCCAACAAACTCCACAAATACCTTACAATAATAATTGAAATTTATGTGCTTGTCATAAAAGTTTTTTTTTCTAGATTATTGAATAAGTTAACACAGATTCAATTAACGCGGTAGTAAAAGCACACAAATATTTTTATTTTGTCGTGACTTCGAATTCATCAAATTAGTCTTATGAGCTAAATAGTACTGCAAAATAATGCATGCTAGATATAACTAATAGCATGATGAAAGAATTAGCACTTTATTTTTAAACTGAGATTATTGTAAAGGGATCAAAGTAATCATAAAAGAATCATGATTAACATTATAAGAATGAGGTTAGCATTTAACTATGCATGTTCTATCTGAAGTTCTTTTTAGTAAAGAGATATTATTAGTGTAAACAAGCTGGTAAATAAAATGGATACTGAAGCATTTGTTCAAATGAGATAATTGACTATAGGATAATTGCTTGCCAAATGTAACTATTTTACTTATTATTTTATACTGTGAATTGTTTTCTTCTTGATTGAGATGTGTGTGTGAGAGGGTAGAATAAAAATTTTTTTAAAAGTACTACCCGCAATTAAGCTAGATTTTATAATCAATACTGTTAACAGAAAATGTCGTTATATACGTATCACTTTTTCATTTTCTTTGATGATTGTTTACATTAGGGTTGAATTGGCTGGTGAATAGGATTGAGCAATGCATTCGTTAAATGAAACAGATACAGAAAATCAGTGGCTTTGTTCATTTCACCAGAGATGTTCCTCAGTTAAGTGATCATATAAAATATCAGATTGTTGGCAAACAATAAAAACAGCCTGAAAAATACCCATCAGTCTGAAATTAATCACAAACTATTCCCTTTTTCCCTCATGAAATCATAAGGAGACAGATGAACAAATTTTGTGTGGGAATAGACAATGCCTATTTATTCAAGGATAAGAGGTTTCGAGAAACATTAAAAACGATAAAACAATACCAGCAAAAAATAATCTCAAAGACTTTTTACGATTACCAACATTTTGAATGTTTCCGATTAGAAAGAGAAAATCAGAAAGTTTAATTATTTTGGTCAAATTCTACTGTATCTGCAAGTAGTTTTGCCTATGGTCAGTAAACATAAATTATTAAATGGACAGACTCAAATTAACGGCGTTTGGTAAGTTAGTAAAATATCAAACCAAGCTAGATTTTAAGTCAAACGTCAATCCAGTTTGTAACGGATACGTTCATGAAGAATACAAATTTTTTGATGAGGGAGGTAGGTGGAAGAAGTACGGACGAGGTTAGTACCTTAAAATATCAAATACAACTAATCATCAAAATTGATAGTGTAGAATTTCGTGTTCTCCATTAAAAGTCAAAACTAATTTTGAAGAAAGTACAGTTTGTATATCTCTACTCACATCTGAACTGAAAAAATTTCGAATTCTGCTGGCGTTATTATATGATTAATCACTCTAGTTTCCTCGTAATAATGCCACTTTTTGCTCGAAAAAATACTTGGGCGAATTGGTTTTAAACAAAATTAAAAGCAAACCCTCTAGAGCACTTGACAAACCGTGAAAATTCAAACCCTACTCTTACAACCTAAAGGTAACATAATAAAATAAGATGAACTTTGTTTCGAACCACCAGACAGGTTAGTCTGCAGTCTTAGCATAACCTTCAAATAAAAGCGTTAGTTAAAATGTCTCAGAGATCCCAGTTAAAAAAATATGGGAACACGTTGAACAACAATAAATATTATTGTCGTTGTTTTAGATAAGTTGTAAAATGAAAACGAAGTGTTTCAATAAACCCCTAAATACTACATATTAGTGAAAGGCATTTCTTCAGACGAAGGTGATGCAAAATGAAAACGAAGTTAGTGTTTTATGAATCTCTTGGTTGCTCTTATCACTGTTATTATCTTTCAGTCATCTGACGTCGTGAGATACTTAATATATGAAGCTATTTAATCTATATAGTACGTTGTGCTAAACAAGTTTATTATACTAAGTGACTGCTTTGGCTGTTTTTAAATGGTAGAACAATTCTTAAATATCTAAAACTTCTAACGACAGCTATCTCAAGCTCCATTTCTACAGCTATATATGCAACAGAAACAAACGTATTCTGAACGAGAAATCAGGGATTTACGTTTACTAGTTTTTGTCTAGCATTCGTTTTCCGTTTTTTTATAGTTAAAACAATGGTAATAGAAGTACGTAGTTTGAATATCAAAACCAAGTGCCGTACATTGAGATTAGGTTGACTGTAACAATAGTACCTATTTAGCAGCATCAAGCTCAAATGGCCCATGGAGTGATAACTTTCAGATATCCTGTCAAGAACAACTCTGTTGAACACAGTATGTCTCAAGCAAATTTAGGTTATGTGGATATCGATGTCTAACCAAAAACTAATAGCAATGATAAATTGAACATTCTGAAAACCGGAGCTATTTATTGAAAATAATATAATTAAATAAACTTTGAATACTTTGGGATCACTAGGGACCTTTACCCAATAAAGCAAAATAATAAAAAATCACGTCACTGAAGTTTAATCACTTAGCAAATAGTAAAACGCTAGCGCAGAGAAACATATAAAAGAGTTTAAAGAAAGGTTCACATAGAAACACTTACCTTGCAACCTTCACAAGAAATCACCCCATAGTGGTAGCCACTTGCTTTGTCACCACATACCTTGCAAGGAGTGAATGTTGCCTTTATGGATCCAACGTTAGAATTACTATCAGCAGCAGATACTTCAGAACCTCTTTCTATGGTTCTAGATGATCTGCAGTTAACCAATGACCCAGGACCAGAGCTGACTGTTCCACAAGGCGTAATAGAATGATCGGGTACGCCGTTAGGAGAACCTCGAGGTGAAAGTTTTACAATAGAATCTGTACAGGTTACATCACCCATATTAGTATGGCTGTTGTGGGGACCCAACTGACGAGGTGACGTAGTGATGTGAAGTGGACGTAAATCAGAAGGATGGAACGGATCTGAATAAGGAAACTGTCCATGGTCAGGATGCTGGGAAAAATGACCTTCTAACGAACTAACAGAACCGTTATGTTGATCCCTGTTGACAAGCATGGAATTTTGTAACATATCATGAGGAAATATCTGTGACAAACCGTAGTTGCTGTTGGGAGCTGAACAAATGGTGGACGGAACCTGACGTTGATAGAACGAATTTGAAACGCCATGTGAAGAGGTGTAATTTGAAGCATAGGCTGACGGTGGACTGGGTAAAAAACCTTGAGGAAAAGAATGTCTAGACGGCAAAGGATATGGGTGATTAGCAGACATAGGTAAATTGCTACAGTCCGAAAATCCTGGGTAAGTTTTATTTGGGAAATTTAGATATGGCTGATCAAGTGATGGGGAACCATTTGAATCTGTGCATCCAGGAAATCCAGATAAAGGAGGGGAGGGAATGATTGACACAGAGGCACTCGCATTTGTTTTTAAAGAGAAACTGCTGCTTACACCAGAATCAGAAAATGATGCGCTTCCAGGATCTGCTTTAAGGTCGAAGTTTGATTCTGGGCTTATTGCCATCACTGAAATAAATTAATTAAATATGTGAAACTATATTAGAAATTTGCAAATTATGTTTAATTAATAGACGTAAATAATGGATCAAATTAAGCTCTAAAATTACACTGATAAACAGCAAAGGAATACCGTCTTACAAAACTAGTCCACATGCCAGAAACTCCAAGCAAGCCAAAATGTTTAACCACTGCGGCAAACTTGGGTTACCTAAGGTCGTTAAAGGATCTCTATTTGCGGTGCGTCTTAACAAAATTCATGGTGAAGTACGTGAATATTATTCTGGGCTACTAATTAGGTTGACTGACGGAGTAAAAGTGTACATAATTTTGCTGTGGTTAAATACCCTTAAACATATCACAATATCTGAGTAAAAATTCAGGGGAATTCAGTCTTCAGTTTTCAGTAGTCAGGATTGGAGGTCTATCGACCTATATTTATCCCTGAAACTTATTTAATTGTGGAAGTTCGATCTTACTTTGAATGTACCATTAGAAGGCGTTGATATTACGTGTTCTGGTATAGAATCCCACCAATTCACGACTCCGGGATAGTTTCAGTTTCAGTTTCAGTTTGGAAAGGACAGGAGGCTTGGTGGCCTGTGTTAGTCCTGGCAATGATGGTCTCTCAGCTGATCCAACTTTCTTTTGAAGGAGTCGACGGATGGAGCCTCAACCACGTGCTGAGGTAATGAATTCCACTCGTTGATTATTCGATGGGAAAGTCGGTAGTCAGCTGACAAGTAATTCGTTCTGGGCTTGTGAACATTTTTGGAGTGTCCTCGTAGATTTTCTGTTTTGGCAGACAAGAAAAATGAGGGCATATCAGATGCAAATTTGTCATTTAGCAATTTGAAAACTATAATCAAGTCACCTCTGATTCTTCTATATGACAGCGGGAATAGGTTTAGCTTGGTCAGTCTAGTACCATACGGGAGCTTCGCTAATCCGGGAATCAGCCTAGTTGCTGTTCTCTGAACTCTTTCCAAGAGTTCACTGTCTTTTTTTAGGCAAGGGCTAGCTGCTTGTATACAGTACTCAAGTTTAGGGCGTACGAACACTGTATACAAATTCAGAAACTTTTTAGCGTCGAGATGCCTAAAAGCCCTGTGTATGGACCATAAAGTCCTAAAACCTTTGGCGGCTATTGCACGGCAGTGTGCAGTAGTCTTTAAGTCTTGACTAACGATGACGCCTAAGTCATTGTGTGTCTGGACAATAGGTAATCGTGTATGTATCTGTACCCTGGTGGCCAATATGCATCACAATACACTTGGAAGTGTTTATCGGCAATTGCCAGGTTTGGGACCATTCAGATAATCTCTCCAGGTCATTTTGAAGTTCTAAGCTATCGCTCTTGCTTTGTATCGCTCTCCATATCTTGACATCATCAGCATAGAGTAAGACCGATGACGAAAGTAGACGAGGGAGATCATTTACGTACAGGAGGAATAACACTGGCCCCAAAACTGTACCTTGGGGGACTCCACTAAGCACAGTTTCCCAGCTAGACAACTTGGAGTTCACCCTTACTCTTTGTTGACGCCCAACTAGGAAGTCTTTTATCCACATCAATAGATTGCCTCCAATCCCGACATTCCTTAGCTTATATAACAGCCGGTTATGCGGAACTTTGTCGAAAGCTTTGCTGAAATCGATGTAAGCTACGTCTATAGGTAATTTTTGGTCCTTAAGAGCGCACCAGCTTTCACGAGCGACTAATAAGTTTGTGAGACAAGAGTAACCTGTTCTAAAACCATTCTGCTTCTCCGAGAGGATCCGGTTTTCATCGAGATACTTTAACAGTTCCTTCCGAATAATCTTTTCTAAGATTTTAACAACCACACTAGTTAGGCTAATTGGTCGGTAATTCTCAGGCTTATGTTTTGAACCTGTTTTGAAGACAGGACTTACTATGGCGTTCTTCCAGTCTTTTGGTAGACGACCCTGGGTTACAGATAGATTAAAACATACACTTAAAGGGTTCGCAACAAAGTTAGCTAATTCCTTTAGTAACCTAGGATGCAGTTCATCGGGTCCAGTGGATTTACCTATGTCAAGCTTAATTAGCAGACCAAAAACATCGAGTTCTTTAATGGTCACGCTGTCCAGTGTTTGTGTGGGGGGGATTTTCATGGACTGGTGAGAAGGGTGTTTCTATGGTGTATACATTGCTAAAGTATTTAGAGAATACTTGAGCTTTGCCAAAGTCGTCCTCTACTAGTGATGAGGCAGTACTGTCTCCCCATAATGAAGGAACATTTCTTCTCCTTTTTGTCCTTTGGTTTATATACGAATACAAGCGTTTAGGGCATTCTATGGATTCCCTAACGATTTTCTCTTCGTACAGCTTTCTGGCCTTACGGAGGGTCGAGGCACAGGTATTTCGAGCCGTTTGATACTGAGATTTTGCCTCATCAGTCCCCAGTAACCTAAATCTGTCCCACATTTTCCTTCTTTTACGGAGAAGGATGCGAACTTCCCTACTGAACCACGGTGGGGAGTTTCTCGGCCCCCTAGGTGTAGTCCAAGGGATGTGGGGGGCGGTAACTTTTAAGTTCAAATTCCGGAATACGTCCCAAGCCGTTTCGATTGATGACTCTGGATCTAATTTCCAATCTACTAATGATGCTGATTTCATGATGTCTGCTATGTTTGCTTTCCAGACGTTAGGTCTGGATTGAGCCGAAGCGTACTCGTGATTGACAGTTATATGGAAGTCAAAGCTTAAAACTGCATGATCACTTTTGCCTAGGGGTGGCATGTAATCCAGGTTTGCAACATCATCCTCATAATGAGTCAATATAAGATCTAGTAAGGATGATGCAGAACCCGGGTCGTACCTAGTTGCTTCCTTCACGTGTTGCACTAGAGCACAAGTGATTATCGCATCAACTAGTTCCTGTTCGAAGGAGTTTGCTGACGATTCAGTCCGAAGATTTCCCCAGTCCACCATGGGTGCATTGAAGTCCCCTAAGATTAGACATCGATCACTTCGTGATAAAGTGTTGAGACTGCTTAGCAGGACCTCGTTTGCCTCACAGCTTGGACTGCGACAGATCAAACTAAGTAGCAACTCTTGTCCCCTGCATTTCAGGCGGCAGCAAACTAATTCATACGTCCCACTCTCATGGGATACACTGTCGATAATGGTGAATGGAATAGCATTCCTAATGAATAGAGCTACTCCCCCTCCTTTACGCGTTTGTATTCTATCGGCCCTTACCAATGCAAAAACCTCGAAATCAAGTTCCCTACTATCTATAGACGGCGTCAGCCATGTTTCTGTGACTGCGATTATGTCTGGCCTAGTTGAGTCAATCTGTACACCTAGTTCCGGTAGCTTATTTAGTAAGCTCCAGGCGTTGGTATAACAGATCCGAAGCCTATTTAGGTGGCCTCGTGCTTCACCCAGAGTGGCTTCGGCATCATCCTCTGTCGAAGCCTCACAACCCGAAAATTTACAATTTTCAGGTCTTTTTCGCCAGCGTCTAATCTAAGCTGTAGTTCCTTTTCGGCTTCCCGTCTTTTAACACGGTCCGCCAACGGTAAGTCCTTACGGAGAAAAACTCCCGAAACCTTTAATTGGTGTCCATTTCCTAAGATTAAGTCGCGTTCGTTTGAGGATTTGAAAACGACTTTGAGTAGTCTAGACTGATTTGGTTTCAGATGCGCTAGATTTCCTAGTCTATACACCTTTAGCAAGGTGACTCCGGGGATGTTTTTGGGCATAACTTGGTTGAGTAGTTGTTTTATCAACACAATGTCATGCTCAAAACGAGCGTTCGGTTCTAAGTTGTCACTCTCCTTGACTCTATGGAGAATGACTGATCTGTCGCTGTGATCAGACCTCGGCTTGTCGACCCTTTTGGTGGGGGTATGATTTCCTTTTACGTCATTTTGGCGTTTTTTTCTTACGACCCGTACCCAATCGCCAACGTTCTTTGGAGTGGTAACCACATTCGCGTCAGGCGTACTGTGGGATTCCAGAAGAGTCAGGACGACTTGGGAGATCGGGTCATCTTTCGCGCTGGAAACCGATCGAGCCTTGCGGTTTCGGCTTCCTGAAGTTCCCTTCTGGGTACCATTTTTGATACGAGGGACAGAAGAGACTTTTTTGCGCGAGTTTCTGGTTGTAACAGTCCTCTTTGGAGGATGTTCTTCCTCCTTAGTAGGGTGTGGGTCGGCAGTTTTTGGACTCACTTGGGCCTGCCTTGTGTCAACCTGCGTGTCGACAGATTGAGTTCTGACTGATGTATCCCGACCGCGCTTGCCGAGACACTTTTTTGCGGCATTTACTATTGAAATGGCCTCGGTTAGCAGGCTATTTGCATCCAAACAACACTGTTGACATAGCCATACACCCATTTTTACTAAACCGCTTGAAAGCTGCAGGTGTTAGATTTGTGCAAACTTCGTGGTACCAACCTTTGCACTCATCGCACTGCATGCCGCTATCAACAGGATATCGACATCCTGGGCGGTGGCAAATGCTTTTGTTGCATCTTCCAGTCATTTTAGGATGCGAAAGTGAGTGTTGACTATAAGTAGAAAAAAAAACTATAAATATTTAGGACTAAAGTACTAACAGACACAATAGAAAAACAAAGGTACTCTGGAGTACCGACGATAAAACTATTTAGGATACCAAAGATGATACTTTAATAGAATACTTTAACTGAAAGAAATTCAATCAAAGTATAAAAACAGTAGTCTTAATACGTTAATAACGATCAAAACAATAGAATTTACTCAACGAGGAAAAATACCACTGTCCTTTTTAAATAGAAACAAAACTCCAGACGTAAACGATTAAGTCTCGGTTTTTTAACTTTTTTAGAATGTCCTCTTATATGATCAGTCATAGATGGAAGGAAAAGATAAAACATATCAACACCAAGGTAGTCGTTCGGCATAGGGCAAGACAGTATTAGATCACCCTGAAAACTGCGTTAAGATAATGGCAATAAGTTGTGGTGTCTCAGTCTGTCTTCATAGGATAGGCCAAAGATACCTTTCATCACTTCGGTCTCTCGCTGTTGAACTCGTTCCGGCATATCCGCCTCATACTAGGAATAAAGAGTTGCTATTTCAATCCTATATCCCAAATACAGCCTCACAAAATACAAGTACAATACCCCAAACATTCCTTTGTTAAAGTACTGAAATGGCTTACTAAGAGCCTATAAGACCCTGAAGACTTTGTCGGCGACAGCCTTCAAGCTG